CACCACCACCACCACAACCACAACCACCACCACCACTACCACCACCATGCGCAAATAATTAGCCACTTACCCCTTCATGAAAATTGTAACTTTATATAATCAATAAAAGAAAGTAACATGAAAAGTATGCGTTATGGAGGATTTGATTCAATTTCAAAGATGCAATTCGTCGTGTCTATAACAAATGAAGCGTGAACTGAAAAGATAGGAAGCCCNCCCTGGTGGATAGTTTTTTCGACCTAGTTGTGATTGTTCCCAACTGAGTCATAACCCCGGAGGCTGGTGTTGAGATGAGCAAGGTATATGACCCGCAACAAGCTCGCAAAGATGTGAATGGAAAATGAAAAACGGCCTAATCAGCTGCCCCGGGTTGGCCGAGTGGGTAGCACGCTTGTGTTCTACAAGTATTGTCCCGGATTCGATCCCCAGTTTTGTTCGATGGATTAGCTCTGCTCGGATAAGCCACAACCAGGTCGGAAATGCTGTCCACTAGTGAGCGTTTCCTAACTTCACCGGCTTTATACACGACGAATTGCACCTATGAAAATGAACAAGAAAAGAAATTCAAAGTGCGGTTTTGCATTCATGTGTATGTAATGACTTCGGCATCCGCAGTACGATTGAATGTGAGCTTTCTAGCACAGAGAATAATAGATAGTTTTAATGGTGTTTAGACCAATAGGTCGTGGACAAACTGCAATTCACGGTGTCACTGAACTGAAAATGAAAAATTACAAAATACAGGAGAAGCCACGCCTTCCATGCGACGTATTCGGTGTTCAAAGCCCGGGCAGGATCGTAGATATACTGAATGGAATACTGATGAGCCCAAATAAGAGCGAAAATCGAGTCTAGTGTTTCCGAGCGTATGTAGGGTTGACTGAAAAAACTGAGTATTGTACATGAAGCTGCAGTCTGAAAAATAGTTAGTTTAAATCAATATTAATTATCTCATATCGCTACTAAAACAGTAGCTGTGAGTTAAATGCAAACGCCGGTAATCTACTCGACAGCGGCAGCCCATGTTTCTCTACGCGGTCAGTCATGGGAAATAGGAGTTTCGGATTATTTTTCGATTTTGTACTTGTTCAAATTGGAGTTTTATTGCTTAATGAACTCTTTTCGAAAATGGATTCGCTCCAACAATGTGATGTTCTCGATACAATCAGCAAAGGTACGTTCCAACTGATATCGTTTGTTGATGTTGGTTATATTCTCAAGTCTTCAAGTCATACATGAGGCCATCATCTGGAAAATTTGTCGAAATCATGGATACATAAAACAGGGGTATTAACGACACTCTATATTTCGACCAGTTACCCAGCAAACCAGACACATTACACGCCAGAACTGCATTTACAGCAACCGAATCGCCTAACCACTCCAGACCAGACTAATATTCCCCACAATTTTATCACCTCATCAAAATTATTCCAGCGAAAACATATACATGTGTACTCCACAGGTTGGGAACAGTATTTACACCCATAGGCAGGAGAGTTTGGAACAACGAGCAGCTACCTGGTTGGACGTGATTGAGCAAAAACACTGCCAACATGGACAAACGATCAGCACAGAATAATAAAATGATATCCTAGTGTATCTTTTTGTCTCAGACCATCTGATGCGTGTCCACGAGGGAAGCGGTACGGTTCACGGCTGAGATGAGATGGGAAACCGATGCAAATGGCTCTGTGGAATCCGATCCAATGTGCAGTGACAAGGTGTGAGCATTGAAACGGGGGACATACAACGCATTGGCAACACTGTCTAATGAATTCTGTATTATGCTGATAATAGCTGATTGATACAAACCACTGTCTGTTCCTCTCCCGTCCAGTCAATTCTGCTTGTACACACTGGTCGTGATTTGACAACCACTGCTTCCTGTGTATTTGGGAATTTTCAACGGTATAGTAGCAAATATACATTTCAAATGCCAACTCCGAATGACTCAGGTGCATATAATGATTCTATC